AATCTCCCCAAAACCCCAAAACCCCAAAACCCCTTTTTGTAACGAAAGTACTGAATAATTGTTTAAAGAAACGATTAAGCCTAATTTAAACTAATCCTTTATCTTTAAGTCAGCATTTAGGCTAAGAACAAATCCCTTGTCGAAGCCAAAGAGTAAGCCTTAGTCTCAGTAACCAAGGCTTTAAAGTACTTGTATTCTGATTTTAGTTTTCGCAAAACTTCATTCAATTTTTTGTCAATACAGAGCATCATTCTAATTCGGTCAGTAATTTCCTTGGCTCTTATTCCTTGAGCCTCGCTAGTCTCCATCCTTGCTAATATCTTTTCGAGAGTTCTTTTGACAGTTTTCTCTAACTTATCATCATGTCTTGAATGGTGCTTAATGATCTTATAAAACCGTATAGTGTCTTTGAGAGTTCTAATATATTTCTTAAAGTATGGGCTATTATTACATCTCAAATACTCAAGCATAAAATGCAAGAGCAGCAGCAGGATTATCACAGTGCATGGATTGTTGAAATCGAGCACGAGTTTGACCTCCTCCTTGCTGTACAACTAAAAATTAACCCATAGCTTACCTTCAGATTTAGTTTTGATCTAAATCCTTTGGGTATACTCTTATACACTTCTCATAACCTCCGATCTATGTTAGAACAGTCAGATCGGTTCCTAAAGCAACTCACTTACCTCCAAAATCCCCACAGTGGAAGAACAGGTGTTTCAACACAGCATGCAAAGCTGTCTGCTTATGCTTCGCTAACTTCCTATATTGGCATGAACAAAGTGACTTACTTATAATCTGTCTGCAACTTGTTCTTAGACTGGTTATTTAAAGTTAATGATAGCTATAAAGAGCCCAAGATTCCTATGGACTCGGTGATTGTACGAACTGAAGTCATATCCTTCTCTTCAACCTTGTCCAACACTGATTCAGTGAAGTGTCTACGAAGGAACTGTTTGTCCACTCGAGCTATAATTTTGTTAACCAGCTTGCAGCAAAGAATCTGAAATATAACATTTTCACAAAGATGCTACATTAATGCACAGATCTCGAGATTAAAGTAAAAGGTAGGAATTAAGAATCCTCAAGTTACCAAGATTATGCCTTTGAGTGTCTCTGACCGTCTGTTGGTTTCTCTCCTCAAGTAGATTTCTTAACCGATCAGAAGCCCTTCTATCTAGTCTCTGTGTAATCTCCTGCAAACTAATAATTGGCATATTGCTTCTGGCCGCAGTCCTTTCTAGTTGTCTCCTGGTTCTTTCTATTATAGCTTCAACTCTGTTATCTAAAGTTTTTAGAGGCATATTTTAGAGATTGAGCTGTTGCTTGACTCAAAATAATTTTTGGAAATGAGTCATCACACAGATTTCTACTGCATAAATACTCTCTAAACCTATTGGGGCTAATTCTTTAGCACACATAAGTTATTAAGAACTATTTCAGCCATTTATCCCCATGGATTCTCTTGAGAAATTTATGGGTGAAAGGAAATTCACAAAGACAGATTTTAGCACAGTTTTTAAGAAGAACGGTGAACTCATAAAAATTATAGAAAGAAGGGAAGAATAGTTTTAGGTCTTGGTAAAAGTCATAGTTGGAGTATAGTGTCAAAGAATCTGAAGTTAATGCTTTGTCAATCAGACTTATGCATTGCTTTGGGGTGTGTTCTAATTTTATTCTAATGCCACTCCTATTGAACTCACCTTGTTCAGGTTCCTCTGGGGTATCGAACATCCCTATAGAACGATTAGTGAGAGAAAGTACTTGGCAGTCTTTGGATTTTGTTTCTAGTCCATTCATAAGGGTATTTTAGGAAATTTCTGAACAAAAATCTCCCTAACAATGACACCAGCAGGTCTTACCTAAATTCTTAAATCTAAAAGTGCGGCTAAAAATTAGACTAATTATCATTACCGAATCAGCAGAGCTACAGTCTTGAATAGGATCACGAGTCATACAGACATAACAAGTGCTCGGAGGTTTGGAAAATCTATAGATCAAAATTCCCAAAAAACTTCATATTTCCCGGTCAGGCTAAGCACTGTTTGGCCCTTGGGGTCCCTAAATCCCCAAGGGAGGGTTACTGAAGTCCCAAAAGGGAATTTCTGCATAGAATTTCGTACCTGTGACCTCAGCCTCTGGGGGGTCTTCGAGTATTGTATTTGAATGGTCCATTAATTTTGATAATTATTATAATAAATATGAGTAAATTTGGGGTTTTGGGGTTTTGGGGTTTTGGGGTTTTGGGG